GGGGGGACCTTAATTGTGACCTCTATGAGTGCCGATCAATACAATTTCTGTTACCCATCTACCCGTACGCTCAGCTATCCAAACGTCCTCCCGCCTATCCATTTACCTATCGACCCACACGGCCATCAGTCCAACTGAACATTGTATTGACAGTGGCCCGGAAAGGGCTAGAGGCAAGTGGAGCATTGTCAGCCTAGGTCAAATCTCCGACAGTCTACCGTAAACATCCCAGGCCTATGTTGTAAAACGGTATCGCCTTTATTGTGACGTGCGAATGCTAGTGTTGCAGTAAGTAAGAACATGTTACCCCACCAGGACATCACACTGAGTGAATAACACCCGGTAACACAAAGTGCCACCATGCGGATGAGAATCACCTGTGGAGAGGTCACATAAACCGCTTTGAACAGTCAGGGAATATTGCGGCCACCGGCAAAAGCCAGGATGGGGCTTCAAACTGACGAAAATCTGCGTCTCTCGTGGGGACGATCTTAGTTTAATCTAGTGTTGCACTCTCCACAATCAAGTGTGTCAGGAGGTAAAGAAGAGTTCCTCACCACAAACCTTGAGAAGATGCAAAGGGGTTACAAAGAGGTCAAGGGGTTATAAAGAGGTTATACAAAATATGGAACAATACGTACCAATGCCGTGAAATAATTTAGGCTATCATCATCATAATTGAAGCCACCACCATCAGTTTTTTCATCAGTTTTCACTTCTGCGCAATGTTTAAAGTTAAGCGCCGTGGGGAGAAATAGTTTTCGATCGACTGAAGTGACGTGGGGAGGAATAATTTTCGGAAGAGTGCCCAAATGGTAACATTCAACCAGCATCCCCAAGGGGATGTTGGTTATAATTGTGACTAGGTTTATGTGGCCTATTTAAAATGGCTGATCATTGCTCGCCACTAAAAAGCCCTGAAAAGAACTCTTGCAGTGTTTATACCAGGAGACAGACCGAAATATTGTCCGATCGACAACGAGGCCGTCTATTGGCCAGCCGTGCTGACCACCACAATTAAATACAACACTCACGCTATGCACGATCGGAAATTTTTCAAGTTGTCACGTGAAAGTCATGTGATCACAGTCAAACAAATATGGTTGATAAAAGTTAAAACGACCTTCTGTGAATCAAGTCAACTTTAATCTCGGTCTGTACTTCAATTAGCATTGGTAATGTTGCGTATTATCGTCGAGTGTGTAGTTGTCCATCTAACGCGATCTCATTCAGTATTGCAGATCCATAAACTTGCTTTGTTTCTTGCATAACTTACAAGATTTACTAGAGGGCGTAACTATAACAACTATTTTAAACTATTGTTCAGGATGAAATGTTACTGGAATTAATCGCTGGTGCAATGAACAAAACTATCTGATTCACAAGCATTAACCCATCTGTTAGTAACAGCAAGAAATTACTTCAGCGATGTTCACATGTCTTTGATTGGGTATATTCATTTCAGGCGAAACAGCTAAACGTAATTACATAATAACTTTCTGTTTACAAGAAACACTTGGCATTCAGTGGAGAGGCACTATCTTATATACTGAGGTATTGCAATAGAAGATGTCGACAAGTTTTCTCAATGATCGGTCTTTTTAGGCTCAGAAGACTTGGTTACACTTAAAGGTTCCATGTTGGTAGAGTGCCCTAGTCATCATTGTAGATGTGATTTCATCATATGGTCATCATCTGGTCATTATTGTCATTATTTTATATGTTGGATAATTATTTGGTTATCTTTGTAGATATGGGATCATCATCTGATCATCATTGTATATGTGGGATCATTATCTGGTTATGATTTTAGACCTGTGATCATCACCTGGTCATCAGTGTAAATGTGGGATCATCATCTGGTCATCATTGTAAATGTGAGATCATCATCCTTATCATCATTGTAGATGTGGGATCATCACCTGGTCATCAGTGTAAATGTGGGATCATCATCTGGTCATCATTGTAAATGTGAGATCATCATCCTTATCATCATTGTAGATGTGGGATCATCATCTGGTCATCATTGTAAATGTGGTGTCATCATCTGGTCATCATTGTAAATGTGGGATCATCATCTGGTCATCATTGTAGATGTGGGATCATCATCTGGTCATCAGTGTAAATGTGGGATCATCATCTGGTCATCATTGTAAATGTGGGATCATCTTCTGGTCATCATTGTAGATGTGGGATCATCATCTGGTCATCATTGTAGATGTGGTATCATCCTCTGGTCATTATTATAAATGTGGGATCATCATCTGGTCATCATTGTAAATGTGGGATCATCACCTAGTCCTCATTGTAGATGTGGGATCATCATCTGGTCATCAGTGTAAATGTGGGATCATCATCTGGTCATCAGTGTAAATGTGGGATCATCATCTGGTCATCATTGTAAATGTGAGGTCATCATTGTAGATGTGGGATCATCATCTGGTCATCAGTGTAAATGTGGGATCATCATCTGGTCATCAGTGTAAATGTGGGATCATCATCTGGTCATCATTGTAGATGTGGGATCATCATCTGGTCATCATTGTAGATGTGGTATCATCATCTGGTCATTATTATAAATGTGGGATCATCATCTGGTCATCATTGTAAATGTGGGATCATCATCTTGTCATCATTGTAAATGTGGTGTCATCATCTTGTCATCATTATAAATGTGGTGTCATCATCTTGTCATCATTATAAATGTGGTGTCATCATTTGTCATCATTGTAAATGTGGTGTCATCATCTTGTCATCATTGTAAGTTTGGTGTCATCATCTTGTCATCATTGTATGTGTGGTGTCATCATCTTGTCATCATTGTAAATGTGGGCTCTCCTTGCAGTACTGGACGAGGGCTGGACGCGGGCTGGACGGCGTAGTTTGGTTTAGTGGGAGTTCTCTTCCTTGGCTGCACTGGAAACAGTGAGCGGAAAAGTCACGAAACAAATGACATACTTACCTATCATCATACGGTTGCGTGTAGGGTTGCGTACGCTTGCGTGTAGCGTTGCGTTGTCATCATACGGTTTCGTGTAGGGTTGCGTAGTCATCATACGGTTTCGTGTAGGGTTGCGTAGTCATCATACGGTTGCGTGAAGGGTTGCATAGTCATCATACGGTTGCGTGAAGGGTTGCGTAGTCATCATACTGTTGCGTGTAGGGTTGCGTAGGGTTTGGGTTTGGTTTAGGGTTGGAGTTAGGGGTTAGGGTTAGATTAGAGAATTTTGACGTAGGAGTTCCAAATACTGGCCGAAAATCTGATGCTTGTTGGAGTGGCGCCACTGACAGTCTGCCAAATATGACGGCAATAGCGCGCGGCTGGTGCCCAATCGGTGGCGAATTGTCCGTAGCATCCACAGTCGGTCGACTGTTTGGGTGTGTATGTGACGGTGCGCGATTATAGTGAACTCCTGCGTCAAAATTGTCACATCTAACGCTAAACCTAACCCTAACCCCAACCCTACCCCTAACCCTACCCCTAACCCTACCCCTAACCCTAACCCTACCCCTAACTCTACCCCTAACCCTAACCGTAACCCTAACGTTACCTCTAACCCCACCCCTAACCCTAATCCTACCGCTAACCCTAACCCTACCCCTAACCACGCAAATTTATCGGTCATTAAAGCATACAGATCGGCCAAAAAAACACCAAAAAAACCCCCAGATTTCCCCTCAACGTCAAAAAAAAAAACCAGATCTGGGGGACACAACCAAGCATTGGCAGCCCTGATATCGACCTCACTGTCTTCTTTAATTCATGACTTTTCCGCTCACTGTTTCCAGTGCGGCCAAGGGAGAGAACTCCTACTAAACTGAACTAAGCCGCCCAGCCCTCGTCCGGTACTGCAAGGAGAGCTTAAATGTGGTGTCATCATCTTGTCATCATTGTAGATATGGGATCTTCATTGTAGATGTAGAATCATCATTGTAGATGTGGGGTCATCATGGTAGACATGGAATCATTATTATAGATATGAGATCATCATTGTATATATGGGATCATCATTGTAGAGCATGGGATCATCATGGTAGACATGGAATCATTATAGATATGAGATCATAAAGTGATCATCATTGTAGATGTGAGATCATCATTGTAAATGGGGGATAATTATGGTAGACATTGAATAATTATTATAGATATGAGATCATAAACTGATCATCTTTGTAGATGTGGGATCATCATTGTAGATGTGAGATCATCATATTAAATATGAGATCATAAACTGATCATCATTTTAGATGTGGGATCATTATGGTAGACATAGGATCATCATTGTAGATGTGGGATCATTATGGTAGAAATAGGATCATCATTGTAGATGTAGGATCATTATGGTAGACATAGGATCATCATTGTAGAAGTTGGATCATCATGGTAGACATGGAATCATCATTTTAGATGTGAGATCATTATCTGGTCAACATCGTAGATGTAGGATCACAAATGTAGATGTGGAATCACTACTGTAGATGTGGTATCATCATGGTAGACATTGAATAATTATTATAGATATGAGATCATAAACTGATCATCATTTTAGATGTGGGATCATCATTGTAGATGTGGGATCATCATGGTAGACATAGGATCATCATTGTAGAAGTTGGATCATCATGGTAGACACGGGATCCTCATTGTAGATGTGGAATCATCATTTTAGATGTGGGATCATCATTGTAGATGTGGGATCATCACCTGGTCAACATTGTAGATGTAGGATCACAAATGTAGATGTAGGATCACCAGTGTACATGTGGAATCACTACTGTAGATGTGGGATCATCATCTGGTCATTGTCAGTAAGTAATTTCCATCTCCAGAGCAAACAGTCCAAGTTGTCAACATCAAGAAACGTGAGGACGCCCAAAGTGTATACCCGGATTCAGTTTCTGAACAGCCAATCAAACCAGTGAACATTACCTCTGAGCAGAAAAGTCCAGCCAGTGACACAGCGCCAGCTTCAGATTTACACAATCATTTGTCAGAAAACATGATTGAGACAGTAGTTGGCAGCACTGGGGACTTTACGGATGGACAGTAAGTCTTGTTTTAATCTTACTTAATATCCAGCGTTGGCATAAGTGGCTTAGGCATTGTGAATACACTTCATAATGCCAGGATAATGCCATTTTCTTGATCTCTTTAATTTTTTCTTAGTTTGAAAAAAATTATCATTTAAAAAAAAAACATAATGAAACATAATGAATGTGAACATTTATTACCCGGCATAGTTTGCTATCTCTTGTCGGGTACATAATAAAGAATTTACATCGTTTATGTAATCAATTACAAAATAATGAATCTTTTTAATTTGAATACACAAATCTCATTGTTTATTTATTGAGATAATGTGATGTTTCACAAATTCAAAAACTGTAAAAGTCATTGAGTCTTTTATGTAAGTTTATAAAACTGACTACCTGACAGAATACAAGAAGTGGACGTTGGAGACAAGAAAGTGTTGCTAGTCAAGGAAGATGGCCAGTTTTTTGCAGTGTCAAGCAAATGTACTCATTACGGGGCTCCTCTTGCTAAAGGTAAATTATCTGTTCTTGGTGACTTTTCTATCGAGGAATATTTTAATATATTCATAAATAGCAAGTAACTGGTTTGATCTTTTGAAATATAACCTTTTGAAGGGAAATCAAGGAAGAGATATTATATTAAAGATGCATTCAATACTTGTAAATAGGATTTGAGTATACATGAACCAGCTTTGGGCTAACGTATTCACCCATGACAAGCCAATTGGCTGTCTGTCACCACCTGAAAACTGTGGATTTATACACATTATAGAACCCAAAGTATTCTTCCCATTATAGTCTAAGGATGGTGGTTAATATAGCTTTTTTTCTCAGACAGGGGCACACAAAATGGGATGTGTGCCTATGTTATGTGCATTAAAAATCCTTTGAAGTTGAAAACAGTAAGTCAAATAAGCTGCAAAAAGGCCTACATATGAAGGAAATTAAGACAAGTGGTTATTGATCACACGTGCACACACGCGCGCGCACACGCACACACACACACACACACCACCCACACACCCACCCACACACACACACACACACTCTCTCTCTCTCTCTCTCTCTCTCTCTCTCTCTCTCTCTCTCTCTCTCTCTCTCTCTCTCTCTCTCTCTCACTCTCACTCTCACTCTCACTCTCTCTCACACTCACACTCACTTACTCACTCTGGGATCCTTGCCTACACTATGAAGTTTGTGCTCTGTGTTGAGAATCTTCCTGGGTGGTCTGTGGGATGAAGCTGGAGCCCTCCTAGAAATATTCAAGTTCAATGAAGGTGGTCCTTCCCCCGCAAACATAAAATATAAAGATGCCAGATTTTAAGGTAAAGTAAGCCTAAAAAATTATTGAGTGCTTTTTTTTCCCTAAAGTAAGGAGCAGTGTTTGGATTAGAGACAAACATAAAAAATAGAACAAAGTTAGCAGAGTCTACCTCTGACTCTGTCTGTTTGAACCAACTGATACTTTTTAAACGTCCTGCAGGTGCCTATTGTAAAGGAGTTGTGAGGTGCCCTTGGCATGGGGCTTGCTTTGATGTGAAAACAGGAGATATTGAGGACTATCCTGGGCTTGACAGTCTGCATAAATTTCAGGTAGGTTCCGTTTTTATTTGTTCTTTTATTGTAAGTGTGAGTTTTTTTTTTTTTTTTTATGTCACTTTATTCATCTTTGAATGCAAGTTTATGAGTAGACCTGTTTTTTTACAAGGTGTTCTGCTGCGGTAGCTTTTGGCAGACAGGGAGATAATTCAATGACAAACGTTGAGAGTTATCACTATCAGGGACATTGCTTATATCCAGCAAAAAAATATCATTGATGAACAGGGAGATAAGTGACCCTGACATTCAGACATGTTAGTCCAACAGAGTGGTCATGAACTGGAAACCACATTAATGCTGGTATTTTTTAAGATTTGACCTCAGTAAATTTTGCAACTTCTCTGTACATGGGTACAATAATGGCATGCATCAGCAACAACAAATAATCATAATAAATTTAAAAAAAAATTAAATAGGAGGAGGAGGAAGGAGGAGACCCTCACAGATGTGTTAGATGTGTGTTAAATGCTTTGGTACAAGGTAACTAATAGAGTTTAGAATTCAGATGACCGGCTATTATTTTTTGAAAATATATAATATATTGTCAACATTTTCTTTGTGAATTTTGTATGTTGTACAGGTGGAGGTCAGAGATGGGAAAGTGGTGGTGAAAGCCGACCCTGCAGCCCTGGAGGCCGGGAAGAGAGTCAAGTCGATGGTGAAGAAATCTGCTGACAACAAGAAGACGGTGGTTCTAGTTGGTGGAGGTACAATCATTCGCTTCTTATTCATAAATACTGCAGGGCTGATTGGATCCACTAGTCATTGAATTGTTGACATCTGATTGATCTATAATTAAATCCTTAGACTATGTTGTGTCTGATTTATCTGTAATTAAATCCTTGGACTCTGTTGTAACCACTAGTTATTCAATTGTTGGTGTCTGATTGATCTGTGACTGAATCCTTGTCCTCTGTTGTAACCACTAGTTATTCAATTGTTGGTGTCTGATTGATCTGTAACTGAATCCTTGTCCTCTGTTGTAACCACTAGTCATTGAATTGTTGGAGTCAGATTGATCTGTAATTAAATCATTGGTCTGCACTGATACCTGTGGTCCATATTTAAAGCCCTATTTCTTTATATGTAAATTCTGACCCTATTCACAGAGCCTTGATTCGTCGTAAGAAGATTGAAATCTTTTTTCCTGATAATATGAAATTTATTTTCTACTTCTTCTGTTTTCATTTGCTTGAAAAAGATGATCTATATCTGCAATGTGGCCTCTAGTGTGAGCTTTACTGTTTGTTGTATGTCACTCAGTGACTTGTTTAGTTTGGCTTGCATTGGTGTTTCTCTTGGCCAGAAGTTTTGCCTTGATATGTTGTATTTAGGACAGTCTTGGAGGATGTGATCTGGTGTCTCAGGTGCCAGTCCACATGTGCACATGGCAGATTTGCCAGGCTTAATTTGTGTGTACATGTGGCTGTAAAGTCAATTATGCCTTAATGAAATTTCTTGACCCAAATGAAATAAGTGTTTCGTAAATGAACTCTTTTGTTCTTAGTATGAAATCTTTTGGTCCCTATTTAATTTCTCAGTTTCTGAGTTTATATTTCCAATATTATAATATACAACAGTTGGTATTAGACTAAATAATGAAAGATTGAAAGAAAAGTCAAGCTGCATCTACACATTCACAGTTTTGGTTTCATGGGGGGCGGCTGACCTGGCTAATTATGACACCTTTACCAGGATGTTTTGTTGGCCATTGCATATAGATACACTTTTTCTTTCAGCCAGGAGCTATTGTCATTTAGATGTAGCAGCAGGAAGGTTAACCCGGTCAACAAAGATCCGCAGAAGTCAGCGGCTTTGGCTTAAAGGCACAAATGTTGCAACCCTGCTGTAAACGGGCAAAACGCAATTGCATCTCCCATGAACACAGACGAAGAAGAAGAAAATTTAAATGTGGCAGATTGGCATTCCCAAAACATTCAGTTTATCTGCTCATCTCCACTTCTTTACTCTTCCTGTAATTTATACCTATAATTTTAATCTCATGCCGCGAGTTAATGAGAAAATCCCCCCCCCCCCCCCACTCCTTCCCCCATATGGATTTCCGGGGCTCTATTTTGGGAAAACAAGAACAGTCTTACTGTCGTGTTAACAAGATGTTATAGGAGTGGACTGTTTAGGGATTTCCTTCAGATTTGGAGTGCATCTGCCCAAGAGGCAAGAAACCAACAGTCTGCATACAGTTTGGCCAGATCTGTACAAACTGTGCACAAACAAAACTCAGATCTTTCAACAAAGCCAAAGTCTAGAAATAGTTGAACAACCAAGACTTTCCATTTGGGTTTACAGCCATGCGAATGCACCTACGTAATCCCCCTCTCCCCCACACACGCACACACACACAGACACACACATATATTATATATGCACACACATAATGAGAAAATCTGGCATAAAGGTAATAAAAGCCCTTGACCTATTTTCCTAGGTCCGGCAACTGTTGTTTGTGCAGAGACTCTGAGACAGGAAGGATACACGGGCAGGATAATAATAGTATCCCAAGAGGAGTATCTGCCATATGATAGAATCAAACTCAGCAAGGTTAGGTTTTCCTTTATTTTATATATATATATATATATATATATATATATATATATATATATATATATATATATATATATATATATATATATATATATATATATATATATATATATATATATATATATTTTACCTTTTTCTTTTCAGCAAGTTGTTAATCTTTGTCCTTACTTTATTCCATCTGATGCAGTACATATTTTAAAGTCTCTCTCTCTCTCACACATACACACTTGCATGCACACACAAATATATACATGTCTATATATGTTCATATCCTCATTTCTTCAGTCCTTGTCTCTGTGATGATTGTTTCTATCTGACCATAAAAAGTGAATGGGATAGTTACATCATGTTAGCTTGAGTTCAACTGAAAACACCATTCGCTCCCATTTGACGTCATTTAGCTATGACAATCAGCAGTCTTCTCAATCCTGTCAGCCATTCTTGTCCTACTTGCCAGGTACTTGTTTATTATGACAGCCACACCGATTCTTGCAGGCATTTGATTCATCCAGACGATCTGCTTTCTCTGGCTGTCTGCCATGGAATAAATGTTCTTTTCTCTCACATCAGCTAATTCATTTTTCCCCCACAGGATTTCCAAACATAATCTGCTTATCCCACACATTTTCTTGTCAACCAGTCTTCCCCTCTGATTAATGTTTCATAGTTGGCCTCTGACCTTTTAATCTTTTCCCTTGGAAACTCCTTGTGCTTAATGGGATTTTCCACTCATTACATTTTGCATAACAAGACTTTTGTCTCTGTTTGAAAGTTTTATTTTCAAAAACCAGTGTTTCCTGTGTTGACCCAGCCTCACTGTAAAGTTCATTCGTTTGTTTGACACTGAATAATTTTTAGAATTTTCTAGGATTTGACTGGAAGGAAAGGCAAGGAGGAAAGCACAGTTTGTCATTGGGGCACTAGTAGCAGACTCTTCCACTTTACTTGTGGACATGCTTGTAGTTTCTTAGTGACAGGATTAATCTATCTATCTGTGACATCTTTAACACTTCATTGGCACTACTACTGTTACTGAATTGACACTACTACTGTTACTGAATTGGCACTTCTACTGTTAAAGAATTGGCACTACTACTATTACTGCTGCTGATGCTGCATTGACTACTGCGATTACTGCAACTGTTAATATATATTTTAAAAATCACCTAATCACCTATTGGAACATTACCTTCAGTCATCTCAAGCCAAAATCATTATCCTTTTCTGTCCCTTGTAGTTGTCTTGGGTGTCTTTCCCATGTAATTTATCTCCACCTTTCAGAAGAATTTTTATCTCAAATCACTTGCCTCACACCCCCACAAGTTTTCTTTTATTTGTGAATTCCAGAATATTTTTTTTTCTGTTAACTCTTTTGCTGAACATGTGTCATATCTGGCTTGTAATGATTGAATGAGATAATGTTTATACGTGTTTGAATGTAATTATATACAGGCCCTGAACATCAAGCCAGGGGAGATCACTCTGAGAAGTCAGGAGTTTTATGATCAGAATGGAATAGAACTGTTGCTTGGCAAACAGGTAAAGTCCATTTGTGTGATCATGACGTCATATATTCACTTTGTATGAATTATAACACCCTTTCACAGTTAGAATGTACAGTAGGATTAAAAAGAGAGGGAAATTTGAATGACACAATATATGAACATAAGCAGGTGAATAGATTGGCTTTTCTCAGTTGTTATTGTAAACTTTTATTTAGTCCTTTTTCTGTTGTTGTAGTTATTATTGTAAAACTCATCCATTTTTAGTTGTAAAATCTTTTTCATTTTTAAAGTTGTACGTGTGTACCCACACAGTGGTTTGTAGTATTTAACACAATAAAAGTGTGTGTGTGTGCACGCAGTTTGTAGTAATGAACACTTTAAAAGTGTGTGTGATGGGATCATCTTTTCTGTATGTTACAGGTGACAAAGTTGGAGGCTGGTGAGAAGAAAATTGTCCTGGAAGACGGACAGAGCGTCAGCTACGACACACTAGTCTTGGCTACAGGAGGAAAGTGAGTACATGCCAGATTTCCTGTGCAGTAACTAGGTCAGAAGAGAAACCTCAAGGGCTCCTGTAAGAATCTTTAGCTGACTACTGGTTTTCTGCAGGCAGTGTGTCTATCTAAAGTGGCTGACTACTGGTTGTCTGGAGGCAGTGTGTCTATCTAAAGTGGCTGACTACTGGTTGTCTGGAGGCAGTGTGTCTATCTAAAGTGGCTGACTACTGGTTGTCTGGAGGCAGTGTGTCTATCTAAAGTGGCTGACTACTGGTTGTCTGGAGGCAGTGTGTCTATCTAAAGTGGCTGACTACTGGTTGTCTGGAGGCAGTGTGTCTATCTAAAGTGGCTGACTACTGGTTGTCTGGAGGCAGTGTGTCTATCTAAAGTGGCTGACTACTGGTTGTCTGGAGGCAGTGTGTCTATCTAAAGTGGCTGACTACTGGTTGTCTGGAGGCAGTGTGTCTATCTAAAGTGGCTGACTACTGGTTGTCTGGAGGCAGTGTGTCTATCTAAAGTGGCTTGACTACTGGTTGTTTGGAGGCAGTGTGTCTATCTAAAGTGGCTTAGAACTGTCATGCTGGTCTCTAACTTAATCACCCTCTATGAAGTTGTGTCCTTTGTATTGTTAAAGTATCCATTTTTGTGTGCCTGAGGAAAGCTGATGATAGTAGAACATTATATCAAACAAGTTTCTACTTGTTATGTGATCAGAAGAGGTACATCAGAGAGCATCATATGGCTGGAAAGATCAGAGGAAACTAAGGCAGGCTGAGGAAAAATGATGTTAGATGGTTCAAGACAGTGACATGGAGCCACAACACACAAAGAACTAAACTCATTTGTGAGAAGCCAGTGTCTTTGTGATCTTGACAATTATACAAATATATCCTAGTGGGCTGGAGCTATCTGAAACCTGCTGAAATAGTATCTTTTATTGTTATGCCACACCCATTCTTATGTGACACACATTCTTATGTGACACCTATTCTTTTGCCACACCCATTCTTTTGCCACACCCATTCTTATGCCACACCCATTCTTATGTTGTGGTATCACATGCCAGACTCCTCTTCTTTAATGTCTCTTCACCTGCGCATGAGACCAGACTATGACATATAACTCTTGATTAGCATCCTGCTCGAGTCTAGGCAAGTAGAGCACTTAGTGGACAGAGCAGTTTAAGAACAGTTAGAGCAGTTAGAGGACAGGCGATTGAGGATTTTGTTGGGTCACCAACCACCTCATTCTCTAGAGCTGTAGGACTTTAAATTTGTCAGTAGTCTGGATTACCATGTAATATGTACTCTGTTTCTCTGATGCTTCGAGTGCAACTTTAAATGTCAGTAGTCTGGATTACCTTGTAATATGTACTCTGTTTCTCTGATGCTTCGAGTGCAACTTTAAATGTCAGTAGTCTGGATTACCATGTAATATGTACTCTGTTTCTCTGATGCTTCGAGTGCAACTTTAAATGTCAGTAGTCTGGATTACCTTGTAATATGTACTCTGTTTCTCTGATGCTTCAAGTGCAACTTTAAATGTCAGTAGTCTGGATTACTATGCAATATGTACTCTGTTTCTCTGATGCTTCGAGTGCAACTTTAAATGTCAGTAGTCTGGATTACCTTGTAATCTTTAAATGTCAGTTGTCTGGATTACCTTGTAATATGTACTTCCTTTCTCTGATGCTTCGAGTGCAACTTTGAATGTCAGTAGTCTGGATTATCATGTAATATGTACTTCCTTTCTCTGATGCTTCAAGTGCAACTTTAAATGTCAATAGTCTAGATTACCTTGTAATATGTACTTCCTTTCTCTGATGCTTTGAGTGCAACTTTAAATGTCAGTAGTCTGGAAAACCTTGTAATATGCACCCTGTTTCTCTGTTGCTTTGAGTGCTAGTGTCAGTTTATGTCTGATGCTGTTGTGAAGGCCCCAGTCAATTTCCAAGGGTTAATATTTCTGTTTATTATCTAGACCTCGCATTCTACCGTATTTAATATTTCTGTGTATCGTGCAGACCCCGCATCCTTCCAGTCCCTGGTTCAGATCTGAAGAATGTCTACATGCTGCGCACCCCAAAAGATGCCAATGCAATTGCAGAGAACTCACAGGGAAAGAATGTTGTCATCATAGGATCATCTTTCATCGGTAACTTTTTTCTGGCGTTATGCGACTCATTTGCGGTAATGTAAAGGCTTTATAACATTTATGTGCATTTTCTTTATGTAATATGTATTATTTATACTTATGCTGAGTGTTTCAAAAAAGAATGTTAGCGTTTTTAGAAGTTGTCAACTTGGATTCATATAAATTTAAAGTGTGCAGTTTGTAGCAAAAAATTTAAATTACAGTGTAAATTAAAACATTCATTTTTTTCTTTACAATCTTGTATTTAAAGCAGCAGTCATGTCTGACAAAATTCAAGGTCTTTTTAATTAAAAGGTTAATCTCCAACATTGCAAAATTCTATCAGGCTCCTCTTATGTTGGTTGCACACATTCAAACGTCGTCTCATTCTGCCCAGATATAACCCCGACCTCTTTTGGTTGCCGTTTTCATTCCTTTCACTGTCTGGCAACTGGAATGAAAATATTTCATTTTAGTTAAATAATTGCTGAAGCAGTGTCAATTTATCCCTGTTGATCGTTACATTTCCTTGCACTAATATCTACAATTTGAAATTAAAAACATTTCTTTTTAGCCTGATAATGTGAGACACATTAGTGTCAATTCATCCCTTTTTTTGTCATTTTTCTGGCATAGGCTTTCTGAAGATTGAAATTAAATATATTTAAAAAAAAAAACCTCAAGCGATAATTGTCCCAACAGAAATAGCTTAACCTGCTCTTTCACAAAGATAAAATCATTTTTATTTTGCAGTGACAAAAAAGTATTCATTATCAAAAAACAAATATTCTTTTTTGAAGCATAACTAACATCTCAGTTGAAGTTGTGTTACTTGTGAATGCTGTGTCTTTGAGTGCCTGTGATAGATATTAGACACAGGGCTTTTGTTTCTTGCTGTACGCAGTACTGGCACTTTTTTCTAGGGCATCATTATTTTTCAGCACCACTGTAGTGGGCACTTATGGTGAGCAACGGCACCTTTTTAGACACTTTGTAAGTACCGGCAATATTTTTTTTTCTAGAAAAAACCCCTGCGTATAGAGTTTATTGGTTTTGCTTCTGCTCTTGTAGTCCAGGATACAGGATTAATAACTCACTCTGTTAAGTTAATAAAATAACTTACTTCCCATTGTGTTCTTGATTAACTCCTGCAAACTTGGACATTTATGCATTAAAGTGGTAACACTTTCTTTTGGGGAGAGTTAAGACAAGTTAACAAAACACACTGTAGCTAATAAATGTGTGCTGCTTTGCCTGGTAGAGTTGCAGTGGCTTAGTGGTAGTGCAGTGTTCAGTGGTAACCCCCTTTAGACCTCTGTATTTGATTGTAGTTTTTTTGTTTTGTGTGTGCCTGAAATACAAGCTTTTGTTCTGTATAACCCATCTCTAGTCCTCAACTCAGCTTTCTCATTGTTTGTTCTTTCTCCCAGTTTCTGGGCCATTTCTTGAATGCCCCTACACAGTTATTTTCACATTCATCCATTGGCTTGAAAAACAGTACTATGTGATTGGCCAGGTAGGAGCAGCAAAATATACTTCAAACCTGCAGAGAAATCTAACATTTTATAACATACTCCACTCTTGTTTCCAAGTGTGTCCCGGCATTCTTTTTGTTAGAACAATTAATAGGAAAATAATCTGTGATTGTTTCAGTTTAACTAATTTCCAACATTTGCCTGTTTGCAAGGCATGGAGGTGACAGCATTCCTTGCTGATAAAGCTGCAAGTGTTTCTGTAGTGGATTTGGTTCAAGTACCATTTCAGTTGACCTTGGGAAGCCAAATTGGCAAATACATGCAGAAGGTACGGCATTGAGGCTAACATTAAAAAAGTATGTGCTATATATTTTAGAAGTATTTGATTAATTGGTTGGTGCTTCTGTGTTATTTTGATTTTACATAGAATCAGGTAATACTAATAATGTTGTACTCTGCCTAACTGTGGAACATAACTTGTTTGAAAACAAGTGCCTTAGGAACTGGATAAATTCAAGAATTGTACAGAAATAAGAGAAGTGCCTGGACACCACTGGTATCATCAGGTGTAAGACAAAGAATATGATGGTATATTGGGCACATCCAATAGAGAATCACCAAAGAGACAGATGGCAAGCAAATAAATAGGAAGTGAGAACATCCAAAAGAAACCTTAAAAAACTTAAATGATAAAGGCCAAAGATGCTTGCTGGACAAGATTCCATAAATGATATTAAAACAGTTGCACAGAAGGGTATAAAATAAACTAGACTGTTCCCTGTGTGGCATATAATGGCACAAAAGATGATGATGATTATTATACCTAAAATGTTGTATAAAAAGACTCACATTAACTAGTAAATGACGGAAAATCAAACCTCTGAGCAGAAGTAAGAGTTAGAACTTACAAATTAACCTTGATAAGATGTTAAGTGTCACCCTGGCAACAGTACTACAGATATAGTGTGACTAATGACCTCAGTACTCAGAAACAGAAAAGGAATCACAAAGAATGGTTAGTGATGGCTAGCAGTTTTGTTCAGTTGAATACTTCAGCAGCAGAATTAACCCTGTCACTCCGAGAAGCCCCAAACTTGACCTTTCCATCGATGCCACATCCTGGTTAAGGTCTCGAACGCAGCCTGTCTGTAGTGACCTTATTCCAAGGAGCATAGTTCAATATGATTGGGTCTGTTCACCCCTACACACCATTTAGGAGGCCTAGATAGGGACATATTTACTAAAACTAGCATTTAGGCTTCGAAAAACCTAAAAAAAATAGCGGCCAGGGGGGTAGGGCGGGAGGGGGGGGGGGGGGGGGGGGGGGGGTCCTTGTAAACCAAATTGCTTTTTATAAGCTTTTAAGAAGTACGGTTTAGTTTGAAGCTAAGCTGATGTCAAACTTTCTCATAATCCTTAGCGATAGAGGTCACAAGGTCATGGCATGAGTCAGCTGATCAATATATTTTTTTAGACCCCATGTTTATGATTATTGATGAATCCCTTTATGTGTCTTATATATTTCAGTGGTCAATTTAAGAAGTAAATAACATTAAAAAGTAAATGTCTCTTTTTCACGCCTTTAGGCGTATAGGGCATATATGGCTAGACCTATATTTTTATAGACCAATTGGCACAAGATGAATGATGTGGTCAGCATCACACTAACCGCCTTTACTTCCCCGAATTGCACGCGGTACCCACTCAAGGCTGGGTCAACCTAGGAGTCAAGGTGATTTTTTTAAAAAGTCTGGCTCCGCCAGGGAGCGAACCCACAACCTTCTGATCCACACGCGAGCATCCAGCTGCTACGCCATGGAGACTCCCATTTAAGAAGTAGATAAATAAATTTCAAAAATGTTTGTTAGGGACGTATATAAAAGTTTTTCTGTAGAGGACAGTTGTGAGGATTTCCCTAAAGGTCATGAACCATGTTATTATCGCCCCGGGAGGGAAGGGGTTGAGCAGACCATGAGCAGATCTTCAGTAAAGAGAAACCAAGTAACTCACATCCAGGATGAAGAAAGACTCTTCCAGAAAATGAAATAGTCATGGAAATAAGTTCACAACATTGTGCAAGAGAGAAGAGCACAGGGCACATATTAGTTCATGGTCGATGCTTCTCTGGAGAAAATCGGGCAGGAGAACAAGTGTGGGTTGATAGTTTGTTAATATACACAAAGATAATAAAACAGAGGGGAAAAAAATGATGTAAATTGTAGAGTTGTGTTTAAGACTACTACAATATATTTTAGGAAATTTTTAGTAATTAGTAAGTTTTAATTCAGTATATTTTAAAAACCATTGTCATTCAGTTAATTTCACACAGATTTGTTTGAAAAGGGCACATGCAAACAACTACTTACACAGTTAGTGACTATAAAGTGATCAGATATCATTGAAAAGATGCTTGCTGCATGTTTTTTTTTAGTGGTGTGTTTTTGCTTTCTTCACAAATTTGCTTTTTCTAACAAATTTTTTTTTCTTGTGACTGCTGTGTGATAACACTTGTACTTATTTGCCATTTTGCTACCCTCGAGTTTTAGTTTTATTACACTTAAATAGAGAGAGAGAGAGAGAGAGAGAGAGAGTCTGTGCGTGCGCGTGTGTATGTGTGTGGGGGTGAGGGCTGGTGGTGGTGGGTTTTGGTGGGTGTGTGTACCTGCGCGTATGTGTTGGTTGGGGGGGGGGGGTGTTGTCGGTGTGTGTTTCTTTTTTGTGTGTGTGTGTGGTTTTTTGGTTTTGTTTCTTTGTTTCTAAGATTGTTTGTGTTTTCATGTTTATGCATGACCACATGTGCATGCATATGTGCACACGCATGCAAACACACACACACACACACACACACACACACACACGCATACATATATATATAAAACATAAAGAGAGTAATACTGTGTAGAGTTGGTTATCAGTAGATCAATCAATAAATCAGTCAATCAGGTGCCATCTCCACAAGAAAGTTTGGCTGCAGTGGATCTCCAACACACACCCTGTCTCTTGTCCTGGCTGTTCACTTTCTTAGATTGCTGTTTGCCCATCTCGTGATGTTGTCCTCCCCCTTGATGAAGACGACATGAAGAAAATAGTGAAGAGGATAGATCCCAACGAAAACTGAGCATTGCCATAGTAGAAACCCCTGGCACATCATTTCCCTAGAGCAGACGACCTGATTAACGTCCAGCATGGCTATCACAGAAGCAGTCATATTTTAAAGAGAGAGAGCAGGTGATGGCAACAAATGACAGAAACCCTGTCATCTGGCAATATGGCGAAAACCAGATCTAACCAGCCAGCATTAAGACGACGGCCCTGAACTCAGCTTGCAGAAGAACCAGCTTGACAGACATGAAAGGCTAGAAATGATACAATGATAAGATGCCATAATTATAACTGAAGCTAGCTAGGAGAGGCTAGCTCCCTAGTAAGTGTTTGACCTTGGCTAATGAGGTAAAGAAGAAGAAGTGAATAAACAAAGTCAAGGACACATTTCCCTACTCAGGGATTTGCTGGATAAATTTGTAGACCCAGTCAGAACTCAGTCACTAAAGAGATCAATATCTAGCTGGCCACTGTTACTTCCCAGAAAATTTCCTAGTACTCAGTTATTTTTTCTTTTCTGGTTTGACCCCAGAGCTCCGGTGAATTGTATTAAAATTAACACCTTGTTGAGGTCCACCAAAATGGTCTGCAGGCCATCATGTTAGCCTCCGTGCTACCTCGGCAGATAGCAGGACTGGTGAGTCAGGGATCTTGGGGTTAGATAGGGGTCTGTTGGGTCAGGTATCTTGGGGTCAGATGGGGGTCTGGTGGGTCAGGGATCTTGCAGTTAGACAGGTCTAATCAGCCACCTTTGAACCCAGGCAATGATTGCCACTTATACTTACATAAATATGTGAATTACATGTTGATGAGGCCTGTCAGTTTGTTTGCTTACTTAATTCAAGTATTTGTTCTGATCGCTGTCCCGATAATTGGCTTTGTTTGTAATACTCTGCTAGCATGTTTCTTTTGCTTAACTGCCATAGATTAACTTGGTGTGCTGAAAATACAGTTGGTGGAGTCAGGATGTTTGTTTCATTAAACAGTTCTTAAAGAAATAAAAACAAAAGAAGGCTTGTGGCAGATACTGAAGTCGAAGTAAATTTGCAGTGTTGAGTCACACCCCACCACCCTTCCCACACACACCCATGCGCACACCCATGCACACACACGTGCACGCATGCACACACACACAAGCATACATGCACACACGCACAAGCATACATGCACACACACTCACAAACCACGCACACACAAGCATACATGCACACACACACACTCATACACCACACTCACACACCACCACACTCTCACACACACTCGAGTGTGTAACGCGTAAGTCTTTACCCTGACTGGAAGTGAGCTACATGAACAAGTTCAAGCTAGGCACTTTCAAAGCTCCTCATATTTGCATTTACTTTAAAATATGCAGTTGTTTTGCTGTTGATACTGAAGTTAATGGATTTGTTGGTTAACATCTACACTGCACACTCATCTAAACTTCCTGTACCTGTCCACGGTTTATGATAAATCCACATAATCTATACCGGTCCAGTTGTTACCAATCCACAGTCTGTGAAAAAAAATAGTTATACAATCCACAGTTTATACCAGTCCATAGTCTGTAACAATCAACTCACTTGGTCCCAGTTTTTACATTAAATCACTTGGTCGCAGTTGTTACATTAGTTCACTTGGTCCCAGTTGATACATTAACTCACTCAGTCCCAGTTGTTGCATTAACTCACTCGGTCTCGGTTGTTACATTAACTCACTCAGTCCTGGTTGTTACCTTAAATCACACGGTCCCAGTTGTTACATTAACTCACTCGGTCCCAGTTGTTACATTAACTCACTCAGTCCCAGTTGTTACATTAACTCACTCAGTCCCAGTTGTTACATTAACTCACTCGGTCTCAGTTGTTACATTAACTCACTCAGTCCTGTTTGTTACCTTAACTCACTCGGTCTCAGTTGTTACATTAACTCACTCAGTCCTGGTTGTTACCTTAACTCACTCGGTACCAGTTGTTACATTAACTCACTCGGCCCTGGCTGTTACATTAACTCACTTGGTCCCAGTTGTTGCATTAACTCACTCGGTCTCAGTTGTTACATTAACTCACTCAGTCCTGGTTGTTACCTTAACTCACTCGGTCCCAGTTGTTACATTTACTCACTCAATCCTGGCTGTTACGTTAACTCACTTGGTCCCAGTTGTTGCTTTAACTCACTTGGTCCCAGTTGTTACATTAACTCACTCAGTCCTGGTTGTTATGTTAACTCACTCGGCCCCGGTTGTTACATTAACTCACTCAGTCCTGACTGTTACGTTAACTCACTTGGTCCCAGTTGTTGCATTAACTCACTCGGTCCCAGTTGTTACATTAACTCACTCAGTCGTGGTTCTTATGTTAAATCACTTGGTCCCAGTTGTTACATTAACTCACTCAGTCCTGGTTGTTACGTTAACTCACTTGGTCCCAGTTGTTGCATTACCTCACTCAGTCCCAGTTGTTACATTAACTCACTCGGCCCCAGTTATTACATTCATTCACTCTGTCCCAGTTGCTACTTTAACTCACTCTGTCCTGGTTGTTAATTAGTTCACTCGGTCCCAGATGTTACTTAATATTATTTCTGTCCCAAATGTTGTTATTGGAATTTCTGGAAACATTAGTTAGTTTGAAGTAGCAGCTGTCTACAATAGAGGAACGAAATTAATTCTGTCTTAGACTAAAAGGGTCGATCTGTATTTTCCCAGTTGGTACTTTAACTCTGTCTATATCATGGTGCTATTACCTCCTTTAGACCCTGACATCTGTTATTTTAACCATTTCAGAACACAGAAGGTTTTGCAGCAGACACCTAAGAGTAGAAATTACTACAATTTAAGGGGGATATATTGGCAAAAATAATACATTCAGAGAGACTTTATATATCATGGAAGTGTCTGCTAGAAAAGCCAGATTTCTCTAGGACGCCCTGGTCTAAATGAGAAAATCTGAGAACACATACATGTTGGTTGGGATTCATAAAGAGATGGTCACATACGAGTTGTGTACGACTGGAAAAACTAGCAATAAAAACGCGCACATGCTCTACTCCTGGTGCCCCACTATGGCTGGTGTATGGGGTTTAATTGGGATTCAGGGATTGGCTGCTGTTTTATTTCACACGGGCAGTGTCTTCAGTCAGTCAGGTGTTATTTCCACTGGCAGTGTCATTAATCCGTCAGATGTCATCTCCATTGGCCATGTCATCAATCAGTCAGAGGTTGTCTCCACTGGCCACATAAGCTTTGTTATATGATGAAAATGAAAATTGTCATTAGGGAATATATTTATTTAGTAACAGCCGTTTAAGAGATGGCTCTCCAATAAAGTTTTGCTGCCGTCGATCTCCCAAAGTTCATGTATCTCACCATGGTTTTATGTACTGACTAACTGATCGTCCATCTCTGGATGTTATTTCATCACTTATGCCGCTGTCTACCTTTTGCTGACCTACCTTCATGTACTTCTTCCAGATGGTTTTTTTTAAGAGTTATGTCCTTTAATGGGGCCATAATTGTCACTTGTTTCTATTTTAATTTATCTCATTACTTGTTTCCTTTCTCAGCTTGTCTAGACCATCAGTTTCTGATTGTTTCTGTTTCCTTTCTCAGCTTGTCTAGAACATCAGTTTCTGATTGTTTCTGTTTCCTTTCTCAGCTTGTCTAGAACATCAGTTTCTGATTGTTTCTGTTTCCTTTCTCAGCTTGTCTAGAACATCAGTTTCTGATTGTTTCTGTTTCCTTTCTCAGCTTGTCTAGAACATCAGTTTCTGATTGTTTCTGTTTCTTTTCTCAGCTTGTCTAGAACATCAGTTTCTGATTGTTTCTGTTTCCTTTCTCAGCTTGTCTAAACCATCAGTTTCTGATTGTTTCTGTTTCCTTTCTCAGCCTGTCTAGAACATCAGTTTCTGATTGTTTCTGTTTCTTTTCTCAGCCTGTCTAGAACATCAGTTTCTGATTGTTTCTGTTTCCTTTCTCAGTCTGTCTAGAACATCAGTTTCTGATTGTTTCTGTTTCCTTTCTCAGCCTGTCTAGAACATCAGTTTCTGATTGTTTCTGTTTCCTTTCTCAGCCTGTCTAGAACATCAGTTTCTGATTGTTTCTGTTTCTTTTCTCAGCCTGTCTAGCACATCAGTTTCTGATTGTTTCTGTTTCCATAAAGTAAATGATCTTCTGTATATCCATACCTCAATGGCCTCAGTTTGATTTTTTTTATGGCTTCTTCATAGTCCAGGTTTCTGTACCAAATAATAGTGTTAAATATATGTAGTATTTTACATTTCTTGTGTTACATTTGCTGTTTGTCTCTCTAAATCAGTGGTTATCAACCTGTGGGTCACGACCCTTTTTTTTGGGTCAAGCGACCCTTTCACAGAGGTCACCTAAGACCATTGGAAAACATATTTATTGAAGTATTGAAGTAGTAACGCAAATAACTTTAAGTTTAGGGGTCGCCACAACATGAGGAACTGTATTAAAGGGTCGCAGCATTAGGAAGGTTGAGAACCACTGATCTAAATGTTAACAGTATTGATTTTCATGTTGTTGGAAATAAGTTCAACAGTTCCTGTCCACTTTTGATTTGTTTCACTTCCACCACTTCTGTAGTCTGGTCCCACCAAGCATGATTTAATAATGAGACATGCAGCATTCATTTGTACAAGGAGAATGGTCTGTCACACCTGCCTGCTTGTCTGTGACAGGGAATGGTCGGTCACCCCTGCCTGCTTGTCTGCGACAGAAAATGGTCGGTCACCCCTGCCTGCTTGTCTGCGACAGAGAATGGTAGGTCACCCCTGGCTGCTTGTCTGCGACAGAGGATGGTCGGTCACACCTGCCTGCTTGTCTGCGGCAGAGGAAGTTAACTGCTAATTGGAGCAGAGGGTCTTGAAGACGTGAACTTAGCTTCTCACTTGTTTGCCAACATAGTTTTTGTATTGCATTTACAGGGCTAGAGGTTGCAAATTTCTTGGTGGGAAAAGCTGCAGTCGTCAATGTGATTGGACAGAGTGCTACCCCTTTAGCTCATGTCTTTGGTCCAGAGATTGGCAAGTGGTTCCGCAAGGTGGACATCTTTGTTTGGGGTTTTGCTAGTGGGTTTTAGAAATATTTTTTACTTCCTTGTGCATAATTTTTTTTTTATAAAAAGATTTCTCACCTAAATATCTAGATAATTTACACAGACAAATTGTTTGGTTTAATCTACAATAACATCAGTGTCTTATAAATATGCATTTGTTCTCTATATGAATATTTCTTGGCTTACCTGACGTTAGAAGCTATAACGACTGCTGTTAAATAGATGTCTTTGATCAGACAATATGTTCCAAGTGAATGTGAGAGACTGTTTTAGTCTCAGATTGTGAGTGAGAAAAAGTCAATTAATTTAAATGTCTTCTACCTTTAAGCACACATTTTAGTGTTGACTTTTATACTACATATACATTTTGATAGATGTTTAAAAGTGGAATGGAAAATGGGAACAGAACTAATTTGAACCTAATATTAGACCTTTCAAGGTGAAACTAAATTTGTATTGCATCAGGACAAAATATGAGGTATGGAATCAGGACAGGACATTGCACATAAAGGGACAGACTGCTTGTTTTCCAGCGGGCTGCTGTACACTGTACAGTCTTGATAGAAAGTGGTCCTTAACCAACGTTTTAAAACCTTTGTCTTCAGAGATGACAGACCAGTTTCATAATGACTTCAGCATCTTTCATTTAACTGCTTGTATAAATATGGCTATTTGGAATGCTAGGCCAGTTGCAATGTTGCCATTGTTGCATACTACATCCAAGATAATTCCTTTTGAAGCTTTATTTTCTTTTTGTTTATGCTGTCCATCAGTTTGTTTATTTGTATTCTTTGTTTTGTTTTGTTTTTAACACTGATTTGTTATTTTAAAAAGGGATAGCATTCCTGCTTTTGATTATCACATTTGCCTTTTTGTACAATTTCCTCTCCCTTTTGTTATTGCAGAAAGCATCTTTTCCTTTTTTTGATCATAAAAGTACCAGTAGATTCTTACAAAGCTTAGTGAATAAGAGAACAGAAAATTTCACTCTAAACTGGTCATGAATAAAAACAAAGAATTAATTATGTAACTGTTATTTGGGTCCATAAAGGAAATAAAAGATAGAGACAGGTTTTTAAACTGCGAAATGTCACAGCGTATCCCCCGTGGGATGTTGGCAGACATGTCACAGCATATCCCCCCAGGATGTTGGCAGACATGTCACAGCATATCCCCCCAGGATGTTGGCAGACATGTCACAGCATATCCCCCCCCCCCCCCCAGGATGTTGCACCCAGGCCTGGCACGCCTGCTGGCAGATCTTTTGGCCATGATTGGCTGCTGTCTGTTGCCGTAGAAACAAATCCGTCACTACTGGCCCATTTGTGTTTTTGTTTTATATAAGAATGAATGAAGTGAGCTGCTGGCGATCTGATATGTTTATGTGTGTCATGCTGTTCAGAAAGCAGTGGCTAATTTATTTATAATTGTTTTACATTCTATTTAATAATTTAGTTATAATTATTGAACATAAAATTGCCAAGTAAAACCACTGAAGGGTTCATGAATTCTGAAGTTGGCTTGTGGTGTCTGGAAGAGGATGTGCAGCTAAATTTCCTACGAGTGAGTCCTTGGACATAATGACCTTGAACAACAAACCAGACAAACAGGGATGCTGATAAGCATGACCAAATAGGTTTCGGACACAGAAGAGTGTATTATTTGATGCCCCTTTAACACCACTGCTGTATGGACAAGAAGCAGGCAGGATAACTGAAGCAGTTACTTGTAAGCTAATTACATTGATGGAATGAAAGGAGTTAAACAGTAGGACATAGTTATTGATACATAGCTTTGGGAGAAAAGAATTCCATTCGATCAGCAACGGAGGAAAAGTGTCAGGCACTGAAAATGACACACTTTGAGAAAATCTGATGTTAGTATAACTAAAATGTCCATGCACTGGAACACACAAGGCGAAAGAGATAGAGAGAGAGACCAATAACATGAAACAGAGAAATAAAGACTGATGAATAATATATAAAGAAGGTGGAGTGAGGTGAAGCAGATGAACAAATATAGAAAGGCTGGATGTCACTTGGTAGAGAGCCCGTGCTCCATTGTGGAGATCACAAGATAGAAGATGACACAAAGAAGACTGTACATTCTAACAATTAATATTTGTTTTCTTCTACCTGACCTTGTGACCAGCTTCATGAGGAGAAAGGGGTTCGGTTCCACTTTGAGACCAGTGTGAAAGAGCTGACTGGTGAGGGAGGCTACCTGACACAAGCTGAGCTTGCCAATGGGACCATTTTGCCAGCCGATGTGTGCGTCATGGGTGTCGGTAAGTCAGGCTTTTCATTGAGTCTGTACATGCTGATGTTTTTGTAGTCTGTATGTGCCGATGTGTGCAACATTGGGTGTCAGTAAGTCAAACTCAGATATTCGCTGCTATAATATGTACATCATGATTTTTTCTTCTGTGGTCTTCAAGGATGTTCGCTGCGTGATATCTTCTTCTTGGAATGTGTACTTACAAACATACGTACATGAATATGTTGTAATATGTGGTAGTAGATCTTCTAACAAACACGGAAGAGCTGGCAGGTAGTGGAGCTGTGGTCTGCAGGAGAAATGTTGTGAATACCGTGGACAAGGGGATGTAACTAACAGCAACTGGCATGGCAAGGCTGAGACCTGTCCGAATACAACACTGTATGGAACAATTCAGTCAGAGGTGCATTCATAAGTTTTGTTATGGCTGGGCAAGTCAGCATTTCATGTACTGGGCACAGGATGCTAACCCTGGTTTTAATACATTACTCAGCGCTCCATATTTCATGTGGTCATTATCATGTGAGCTGACTTTACTTCTCAGGACATTCCCTGGTACTCATTTTATCCTGGGTTGACCTGGGTTGTATAAACTGGTTCCTGAAAATCTATTGGTCTGTATACATCTTAGCATGAGAATATGTCCTTGATCTAACCTTATTTGTAAAGGACACCGCTGTGTTTGTTTCCTCTCTAGGTGTTGTGCCAGCAACAGATTTCCTGAAGGACTCAGGTCTAAACCTGACATCTCGCGGCTTTGTTTCAGTCAATAAGGTGAGATTTGCACGAAGAGCGAGGATGGGGGAGGAGGGGCAGGGAGGGGAGGTGGTCATAATAAAAAGAAAAATCGAAATAAGGCGGCCGTACAGTCAATAGATGACAACTGAAAAGTAAGTATAAAAATGTAGGCTTACTGGGAGAGGGGGGGGGGATGTTTTACAGAGAAAGAAACATTAAAGCTTAGTGATAAACTGGCTTATTTGATGGGGGAAAAGCGCCATGGATTGACAGGGAGATAACTGCTTCGATGGCTTGAGCATTTGCAGAACAGGAACACAGACCTGATCTGTGATTCTGGGCAGTGTGGAAAATGATTAACTATGACCCCTTGTACATGGATATCACTAGATGCTGCACTTTTTCAATATATATTAGCAAGGGAAATTGCATCACAGACCACCAACTCCATATTGTTGACAAGGATCCATATATAGTGTTGGCAAGGATCCACATAGTGTTGGCAAGGATCCACACATAGTGTTGGCAAGGATCCACACATAGTGTTGGCAAGGATCCACACATAGTGTTGGCAAGGATCCACATAGTGTTGGTAAGGGTCCACACATAGTGTTGGCAAGTATCCATATAGTTTTGGCAAGGATCCATAGTGTTGACAAGTATCCACATAATGTTGGCAAGGATCCACATATAGTGTTGACAAGTATCCACGTAATGTTGGCAAGGATCCATATAGTGTTGGCAAGTATCCACATATAGTGTTGACAAGTATCCACATAGTGTTGGCAAGGATCCACATATAGTGTTGGCAAGTATCCACATAATGTTGGCAAGGATCCACATAGTGTTGGCAAGGATCCACATAGTTTTGGCAAGGATCCACATAGTTTTGGCAAGGATCCACATATAGTGTTGGCATGTATCCATATAGTGTTAGCTAGGATCCACATATAGTGTTGGCTAGCATCCACATAGTGTTGGCAAGTATCCATTTATAGTTGGCAAGTATCCATATAGTGTTAGCAAGGATCCACATATAGTTTTGGCAAGGATCCACATAAAGTGTTGGCAAGTATCCATATAGTGTTGGCAAATATCCATATATAGTGTTAGCAAGGATCCACACATAATGTTGGCAAGGATCCACACATAGTGTTAGCAAGGATCCACACATAATGTTGGTAAGGATCCACACATAGTGTTAGCAAGGATCCACACATAATGTTGGCAAGTATCCACACATAGTGTTAGCAAGGATCCACACATAATGTTGTCCAGGATCCACACATAGTGTTGGTGAGGATCCACATATATTGTTGGCAAGGATCCACATATAGTGTTTACCAGTGTCATCTGAAATGAATATTCTCTTGTCTGTGTGTGTTGTGTATGTCTTTGTATGTGTCTATATATGTCTCTGTGTGTGTGTGCCTATGGCAGTGTGTGTGTGTGTTTGTTTCTATGTGTGTTTGTCTCTGTATATATCTGTATGTGTCTTTGAGTGTGTGTGTTTTTGGTTGGGGGAGGGGGTGTCTGTGCCCATTTGTGTGCGTAAGTGGGTTTGCGTGTGTGTGGGTGGGTGGGTGTGCACAGGCGCAAGCGTTGCCATGCATTTTACTACCCGTGCTTTTGTATTTCTGCTTGATATTCGTAATATGCATATTATTATATAAACATAACATGCTTTATTGATAAACTACGACTGCTGTGTGAAAGATGGGTGTTTGGAAGGGCTGAATTAGTTATGAGTTAGATTATCTTCACAGCACTCCGGACAAATCCATAGGCGCTCAGATTCCCCTCTCAACATATTCATCAGCCTTGTGCGGTTAATAGTACCAGTCCTTTGTTGGTTAACAAGACTCTGTGTGCATCCGGTGTGCTTCTCATGCTTGGCTGTGCCGATCTTTATTCCTAATTCGCGTATTCTTAGCAGTAATGTGGACACGTTGCTTCCAAAATCCTCAGAACGTCCTATCTCTCTAAGGGCAATAACAATGTCTGCGTGATCCGTGGGCCGGCCATCTTCAATTAATTCAGCACCTTCCAGTCTAACAGCTCTCTCATTACCAACAACGCCGGCATGCCCTGGGACGAATACGAAGGTAACCTCACACACAGGAGAATTTTGCAACGACCCAAGCCACTGTCTGCATAACCAGCCTGCCTCGACCCACCAGATCATGCTCAAAGAATGACTCAGCACACACACGTGGGAATAGTCCTGTGATCCCAGCCACATGAAAGCCTGAGTCACCACCATCACCTCCATTGTTATTCTGCTGGTGGTCATGGGGAAGGCACTGCTGGCTTCCTGAACTGTTCTGCCTGAAGAGTGAGCTGTAAATGCCCATGTACTCTTATGTCCTCGTATAACGGACCCATCTGTGAATATCACCACATCTGTCACATCTGACTTTTCACTGCAGCGGCAAAAATAAAATCCTGACCTGCAGAGTCCGTGGCGACAGCACTAGCCTTAAATCCTCAGGCTCAAGGACCCCCTGCCTACAACGCAAAATTGGTAAAACGGAGCTGAGGTAGAACGTTAGCTTGCTGACCTGGTGTTCGTGTCTTCAAATCTTTGAACACTTGGGTTTCAGGGCGATTGAATTTAAAATAGGGACCATAAAATTACATAGCAAGTTGCAAAGGCAGCCAGCATAAAATGAACCACACCATCCATCAGTTGTTGATCATTCTAACAAGGTGGGGGCTAACACAATATGCCCAGGCTGTGTTGGAAACAAGGAAGTTGATGTTTGGTCATTATTTGTTGTCGTTGTTGTTAGTTTGTCTTTGTTATATATGTTTACAGTATATCATTGTTGTATTTCTTTGTTGTCTAGTATGAGTCATGAGTTAGATTATCTCTGGACACATCCTTAGGATCCACCTCTCAACATATACCTCAGGTTCCCACAGTTACATCTGGTGTGCCTCTCATGCCTGGCTGTACTGATATTCTTAGCAACAATGTGAATATGCTGCCCCTAAATTCCTTTGATTATCCTCTCTCTCTGTCTCTCTCTGTCTCTCTCTCTCTTTGTCTCTAAGAGCATTAACAATATTGGTGCTGTCCTTAGGCTGGTCATATGTGACTATGGCAGAGCCAACCAAAATCTATCCACTCTTTCATTGCAAAGCCAACCAAAATCTATCCACTCTTTCATTGCAGAATTGCAGAGCCAACCAAAATCTATCCATTATTTCATTGCAGAGCCAGCCAAAATCTATCCACTCTTTCGTTGCAGAGCCAACCAAAATCTATCCACTCTTTCATTGCAGAGCCAACCAAAATCTATCCACTCTTTCATTGCAGAGCCAACCAAAATCTATCCACTCTTTTATTGCTGCTTTCTGGTATGTCTTTGTTAAGCATATAAAGCTGTTCCAATTATTTATGCTGCAAATTCGTCTAACATTTAGCGGATGCAAACGAACCTGCCAGATGTGTATGCAGCCGGGGACATTGTGGAGTTTCCTCTGTACACGGTGGATGACCAGAGTGTCAACATCCAACATTGGCAGATGGCACATCAGCACGGTGAGGGAAATATCTGTTTCCTTAATTTTTATTTTGTTGTATCATGCTAAAGAAATCTGGCAGTGTTAAACATAAATGGTGTACATTTGACATCAGTGAAAGAAATAACACACACACACAGGCAGGCACGCACACCACCTGCCCACAGAGGAATATTTATAGCATGGGTGATGTTATTATACAGTGTGTATACATATGGGTCATCATCAGTGCTACAGGGTTTATGCATGGTGCTGAGATTGTCCTTGTGTAATATATGGGTGGAGACTGGCAGTGGATTCTGTGCTAACCAACCTAGCTGTGGCAGTGGATCTTCTGCTAACCAAGCCAGCTGTGACAATGGATCCTGTGCTACTAAGCTAGCCGTAGAGATGGATCCTGTGCTAGCAAAGCCAACTGTGGCAGTAGATCCTGTGCTAACTAAGCTAGCTTTAGAGGCATATCCTGTGCTAACCAAACCAGCTGCGGCAGTGGATCCTGTGCTAACTAAGCTAGCTTTAGAGGCATATCCTGTGCTAACCAAACCAGCTGCGGCAGTAGATCCTGTGCTAACTAAGCTAGCTTTAGAGGCATATCCTGTGCTAACCAAACCAGCTGCGGCAGTGGATCCTGTGCTAACCAAGCCTGCTGTGGCAGTGGATCTTCTGCTAACCAAGCCAGCTGTGGCAGTAGATCCTGTTCTAACCAAGCCAGCTACGGCAGTGGATCCTGTGCTAGCAAAGCCAGCTGTGGCAGTGCATCTTCTGCTAACCAAACCAGCTGTGGCAGTAGATCCTGTGCTAACTAAGCTAGCCGTAGAGGTAGATCCTATGCTAACCAAGCCAGCTGTGGCAGTGGATCTTGTGCTAGCAAAGCCAGCTGTGGCAGTAGATCCTGTGCTAACCAAGCCAGCTGTGGCAGTGGAACCTGTGCTAGCAAAGCCAGCTGTGGCAGTAAATCCTGTGCTAACCAAGCCAGCTGCGGCAGTAGATCCTGTGCTAGCAAAGCCAGCTGTGGCAGTGAATCCTGAGCTGTGAGGGAGAATGAGTGAAAGTGTTGCCTTCACAAGAACCACTTGCTGGAACAGTCTCCATGGGCAAGGAAGATATTCTGGAGATTGTCTTTGAACAACTGTCAGTCACCTGCCACAGCAACAGGTGAAACAACTTATTCAAAAATGGTTGATTGTATTTGAAGATCAAGCAGGCGCATATTAGGGATTCTGGGACATTTTGAGGATCAGGTATGGACCTATTAAGGATCAATAATGGACATTTTAAGGATCAAGGAGAGACATATGGGTAAAAGCCAGCTTGTTTATAACTAGTATGGTTTGGAATGAATAGTATCTACACCTAATATTTACTGAGAGAGAGGGAACATCTGTGAATTTGTCCAGAGGTATAAGAAGTCAATTCTTTAAACTAGAATGCTAGTAGGTTCACATTGTTTCATTTCTGTGTAAAACAGGAAGAATCGCTGGACTGAATATTGCAGGCAAGGCCCAAGACATTCATAGTGTTCCTTACTTCTGGACAATGCAGTATGGGAAAAGTGTCAGATACACTGGTGGGTTTTATGTCATCTTCTTCTGCCTAGTTTTCTGTCTGTTGTCTGTCAGCTACATCTGTCAGTTTGATGTCTGTCAGCTACATCAGTCAGTTCGATGACTGTCAGCTACATCTGTCAGTTTGATGTCTGTCAGATACATCTGTCAGTTTGATGTCTGTCAGCTACATCTGTCAGTTTGATGACTGTCAGCTACATCTGTCAGTTTGATGTCTGTCAGCTACATTTGTCAGTTTGATGTCTGTCAGTTTGATGTCTGTCAGCTATGTCTGTCAGCTACATCTGTCAGTTTAATGTCTGTCAGCTACATCTGTCAGTTTAATGTCTGTCAGCTACATCTGTCAGTTTGATGTCTGTCAGCTATGTCTGTCAGCTATGTCTGTCAGCTAGGTCAGTTAGTTCGATGTCTGTCAGCTACATCTGTCAGTTTAATGTCTGTCAGCTACATATGTCAGTTTAATATCTGTCAGCTACATCTGTCATTTTAATGTCTGTCAGCTACATCTGTCAGTTTGATGTCTGTCAGCTACATCTGTCAGTTTGATGTCTCTCAGCTACATCTGTCAGTTTGATGTCTGTCAGCTACATCTGTCAGTTTGATGTCTGTCAGCTACATCTGTCATTTTGATGTCTGTCAGCTACATCTGTCAGTTTGATGTCTGTCAGCTACATCTGTCAGTTTGATGTCTGTCAGCTACATCTGTCTAGTTTTCTTTCTGTTGTTTGTCAGCTACATCTGTCTAGTTTTCTGACTGTCAGCTACATCTGTCAGTTTGATGTCTGTCAGCTACATCTGTCTAGTTTTCTGTCTGTTGTTTGTGAGATTCCTCTATCAGTTTTCTGTTGTCTGTGAGATTCCTCTGCCAGTTTTTCTCTTGTCTGTGAGATTCATTCATCAGTTTTCTGTTGTCTGTGTGATTCATGTGTCCAGTTTTCTGTTGTCTGTGTGATTCATGTGTCCAGTTTTCTGTTGTCTGTGAGATTCATCTGTCAGTTTTCTGTTGTCTGTGAGATTCATCCGTCAGTTCTCTGTTGTCTGCGTGATTCATGTGTCCAGTTTTCTGTTGTCTGTGTGATTCATGTGTCCAGTTTTCTGTTGTCTGTGTGATTCATCTGTCAGTTTTCTGTTATCTGTGTGATTCATGTGTCCAGTTTTCTGTTGTCTGTGTGATTCATCCGTCAGTTTTCTGTTGTCTGTGTGATTCATGTGTCCAGTTTTTTCTTGTCTGTGTGATTCATGTGTCCAGTTTTCTGTTGTCTGTGAGATTCATCTGTCAGTTTTCTGTTGTCTGTGAGATTCATCCGTCAGTTTTCTGTTGTCTGTGTGATTCATGTGTCCAGTTTTCTGTTGTCTGTATGATTCATCCGTCAGTTTTCTGTTGTCTGTGTGATTCATGTGTCCAGTTTTCTGTTGTCTGTATGATTCATCCGTCAGTTTTCTGTTGTCTGTGTGATTCATGTGTCAAGTTTTCTGTTGTCTGTAAGATTTGTCTGTCAGTTTTCTGTCTGTTCATGTTCATGATAGATAAGTGATTTCTTTTTGAGAAAATATTTTTTTTTGCAGTCCTAGCGGTAATGTGGTTTTTTAGAAGAATGCAAAGAAAGATAGAAAAGCAAATGAGGCATCAAATGTTCACATCAAGACAGTTGAAAACATAAACTGAAATCAAATGTAGACAGTCAGTATTGTTGGAACATGGTAGGAGAAGGAATAAACTAGAGAACGTGTTGACAACTGGCATGATAGATGGAAAGAGAGCAAGAGGAAGGCAAAGAGATAAATGGGCTAGCCAGATGAATGGAGTGAGACAAGAATACTGACCAGATCTGTGATTTTGGTGATCTTGTGACATGGCAGAACATGACAGCCTATTTTTATCAGCATGGCACATATTGATGATGATGAACAAATAATTTACTTGTCTATTGTGTGGAAACATGCACAGTTGAAGTCTTTCTCTTTCTGCCTGTCGTTCCTCAGCAGGATACCTGCCTTCAGACTTGAGGGTCTTTGTTCCACTGGGAAATAAAAGGCAGCATGATCACTTCAAGTTGTGAGTTCATGGACTGGCAAGCTAGTGCTGCAGAATCAGAAGTTCAACAAATGATTCATGACTATTCCCGCCCAGATGATGTGATTATCTATACAGATGGCTCTGTGCTGAGAGGTAGACGAAGTGCATAAGGGTTCATAGCAAAAATAAATGGACGTCACTAAGCGTAGCAAAACCTGGCATATGATGTGACACTGTTTGGAATGGAGGTGGAGGCAGTCACTGTTGCCTTCCACTGGATTGAGAATCAGCTGTACACACATGCCGTGATTGTAACTGACTCACAGAGCATGTTGAGAAAGGTGGAGACAGGCATGCTTCATGCAGAGTGGCGAGCATCACTTCAGAGGTCCCAGGTAGTTAGCGTCCCTTGATATTTTTCTCCAGGTGATGCCAGTGTGTTGGGAAATGAGCAGGCAGATAGACTGGCCAGTTCTGCACCACTAGGTGGTGAATTGATGTATGACAAGCTAGATGTTGCCATAGCCCTTTGTGAGCGAGTGAACAGTGTGGAGGTACAAATAGATCATTACAGTCTGATAAGAATGGTGTTGCGGGGAGTTTATGCGGGATCTGGCTGAACCTCAATACTCAAGGGAAAGACGAAAAAGATGAACAGTTAGACAGTTACTCATACTATCGGAAATAGAATTCTTTTTGTGTGTGCTGAAGATGGGAATGGAACGCTTATGGAAGTATCCCAAGTGCTATAATGTTGATTCTTAATTCAACATTCAACATGTAAAAGGCAGCAGAAAAAAAAATTTTAAGATACAAATGATTAATCAACAAGAAACAAAATTAAAGCACTCAGTGCATTCCTATGTGTAGTTGTGCTGATTATACACCTAATTAAACCACAATGAATGTACCATTCTTGCCAGTAATCTGCCTTTAGAACTTGGTCAGAGAGCTGTGAATAGATCAGTATTTATGTGCTCAGTGTCATTATTCTTGTTCTTGGTTTTGTTTGAAGGTTATGGCCCAGGTTACGATGACATTGTCTTACATGGGGACTTGAATGAAAACAAGTTTGTTGCATATTATACCAAGTAAGTTTGATTTATGTCTTGTTATCTGTAGGTTGTTTATGGGGAACATAGTTATCTTTTTGCCAGTGAGAGTTACATCCCCATAGCTTTATTATATTGGGGGTTGATTTAGAACCACTGATCTTAGGATCAGCAATAAACTGCTTTAGCTTTGTTTGTCACATGCCAGCCATTTTATAACTGCTCATGTACGCTCTGTTATCTTCAAATTCAGTCTCCAAAGTTCTTCATCAAATTATTCTTGGTTAAATTTCTTATGCCATCTTCCTGAAGATCATGCCAGGACATTTCTAACAATTGCTTCTAAATTTGACCTGAACTCTATGCCAGGAAACTAAAACCTGTTATCATGATGTGGTTTTTGAATATTGTCTTTGTCCCACAGAAATGACAAAGTGGTTGCCGTAGCCAGCCTAGGGTGGGATCCTATCGTATCACAAGCTGCTGAACTCATGTGTAAAGGTGGAACTATTTCTAAAGATGAAATCAAGTAAATGTTTGACTTAATAATTCTAGCATTCACCAGTTAATTCCAGAATAAACTCATATATTCAAGAATTTCCCCCATTTAATGAAGCATTTCACTTATTTATTTCATAATTCACCCACTTATTCCAGCATTTACCCATTTAGTGAAGCATTTAGACATTTAGTCCATCATTCACCCATTTATTTAAACATTGACACATTCATTAAAGTATTCACCCATTTATTCAAGTATTCACCCATTTATTCAAGTATTCACCCATGTAATGAAGCATTCACCCATTTATTTAAGTTTTAGCCATTTATTCAAGCATTTACAGTTATTCTAGCATCACCTATTTATTCAATCATTCATCCATTTATTTAAACATTCAAATATTTATTAAAGCATTCACCTGTTTACTCCAGCATTCAGTCATTTTTATTCAAACATTCAGTCATCTGTTCATGTGTACATTCCTGGACTTTTAAAAACTTACCTATAGCTTGAACTTTGACACCTGGAAATGTTCAGGGAAATTAAGGCATCTTTTACCACTTTGCATGTCATATGCTAGTTTATCTATAAAATATAAGACTATAACAATATACCAAATTTGCTATAGGTTTGGAAAAGTGTCGTTTTTTTTTTTACAAGCTGTGCTTTGTTTTCAAAACTTGACTCACATCAGTACAGTCAGTATCTTTTACTTGACTCACATCAGTACAGGCAGTATCTTTTACTTGACTCACATCAGTACAGGCAGTATCTTTTACCTGACTCACATCAGTACAGGCAGTATCTTTTACTTGACTCACATCAGTACAGGCAGTATCTTTTACCTGACTCACATCAGTACAGGCAGTATCTTTTACTTGACTCACATCAGTACAGGCAGTATCTTTTACTTGACTCACATAAGTACAGGCAGTATCTTTTACTTGACTCACATCAGTACAGGCAGTATCTTTTACTTGACTCACATCAGTACAGGCAGTATCTTTTACCTGACTCACATCAGTACAGGCAGTATCTTTTACTTGACTCACATCAGTACAGTCAGTATCTTTTACTTGACTCATATTGGTACAGGCAGTATGTTTTACTTGACTTACATCAGTACAGGCAGTATCTTTTACTTGACTTACATCAGTACAGGCAGTATCTTTTACTTGACTCACTTCAGTACAGTCAGTATCTTTTACCTGACTCACATCAGTACAGGCAGTATCTTTTACTTGACTCACATCATTACAGTCAGTATCTTTTACTTGACTCACATCAGTACAGGCAGTATCTTTTACTTGACTCACATCGGTACAGGCAGTATCTTTTACTTGACTCACATCAGTACAGTCAGTATCTTTTACTTGACTCACATCAGTACAGGCAGTATCTTTTACTTGACTCACATCAGTACAGGCAGTATCTTTTACTTGACTCACATCAGTACAGTCAGTATCTTTTACTTGACTCACATCAGTACAGGCAGTATCTTTTACTTGACTCACATCGTTACAGGCAGTATCTTTTACTTGACTCACATCGGTACAGGCAGTATCTTTTACTTGACTCACATCAGTACAGGCAGTATCTTTTACCTGACTCACTTCAGTACAGTCAGTATCTTTTACTTGACTCACTTCAGTACAGTCAGTATCTTTTACTTGACTCACATCAGTACATTCAGTATCTTTTACTTGACTCACATCAGTACAGTCAGTATCTTTTACTTGACTCACATCAGTACAGTCAGTATCTTTTACTTGACTCACATCAGTACAGTCAGTATCTTTTACTTGACTCACATCAGTACAGTCAGTATCTTTTACTTGACTCACATCAGTACAGTCAGTATCTTTTACTTGACTCACATCAGTACAGTCAGTATCTTTTACTTGACTCACTTCAGTACAGGCAGTATCTTTTACTTGACTCACATCAGTACAGTCAGTATCTTTTACTTGACTCACATCAGTACAGGCAGTATCTTTTACTTGACTCACATCAGTACAGTCAGTATCTTTTACTTGACTCACATCAGTGCAGTCAGTATCTTTTACTTGACTCACTTCAGTACAGTCAGTATCTTTTACTTGACTCACATCAGTGCAGTCAGTATCTTTTACTTGACTCACATCAGTACAGTCAGTATCTTTTACTTGACTCACATCAGTACAGTCAGTATCTTTTACTTGACTCACTTCAGTACAGTCAGTATCTTTTACTTGACTCACATCAGTACAGACAGTATCTTTTACTTGACTCACATCGGTACAGGCAGTATCTTTTACTTGACTCACATCGGTACAGGCAGTATCTTTTACTTGACTCACATCGGTACAGGCAGTATCTTTTACTTGACTCACATCAGTACAGGCAGTATCTTTTACTTGACTCACATCGGTACAGGCAGTATCTTTTACTTGACTCACATCAGTACAGTCAGTATCTTTTACTTGACTCACATCAGTACAGGCAGTATCTTTCACTATAAATTTGTAGCTCCAAAATTAATTTAAGAACCTTTTGGTGCTCAAACATGAGCGCCGGACAAGGATGTACAGTGTACAAGGATTTATTTTCATGGTACTGTGAGCGTATAATTAAGTCTGTAGAAGATTTATCACAGATTTCCTTTGGTGGTCACTGGGTCGGCTAAGCCAGAAACAAAATGCCTGATGAGTGTTGGCCAGAAGATGCAAATATTGCAGCTTGCTGTAAACAGGGACATCACAGTTGTGTCACTTGGATGACAGACTAAGAGGAAAATGTTCTGGTTATAATGTAAAGCAGTTATACGGTGTTACCTTCTCCTATTTTGTTGTAATTAAACAAAGTTAGTTGAGGGTCCTTTACAGATCCTTGCAGAACCAACCCCAGCATTTGCTGGGGAGCTGTTGTGGTTTTTGTTGTTGTAGTTATGGTCATTGTTGTAACAAAAAATGAAATTATGTTGTACCTTGTTTCAGATCTGACCCAGTTGGCTGGGTCTCCAGGCTGGGGTCAGTGTGACTGTCATCTCAGCTGTGAACAGGACTTTGACAACTTGACGTGCCAGTTTGATCTATGCTTTAAAATGTCAAACATGAGTTATCTTTAGAAGTCAAGTGTTTTTTTAGAGTTTGAGATATTTGAGGGTTTGTGTATTTAAGGGTTTGGATGATTGCTGCCGTACGTGGAATGGTGCACAAATAATTTTGCTGTACAAGCAAAAGGAAGTTTAGTTTCAATAAGAGCAAGTTGCATTTACTTTGCTAGTGTGAAAAAAAAATCAGAATCAGTGTAATGTCATTAAAAAAAGTATCACCTACTTTCCATTTTGAGACAACTATGTGCCAGTTTATAATGTGTTTGCCAGCACTGGCTTGTTTTCAGGGAGTTGTCAGTAAATGATACATCTTGTTTGCTAAATGAATTTCACCTAAACTTATGAGCATAAAAAATGTAAACAAGCTTTTATAAGTCCATTTTCAGTGAAAGATTGTTTGTATAGTCAGCAAAGTTGACACATATGTTTTTGAGTTTGCAGTAGCTGTCCCAAGCGGCATCCGTGACTAAGGCGTTGCGAGTCAGACTCGTAATCCAACGTACCGCGATCGAAACCCACTGCGGGCTGCGTAGATTTTTATCGTGGTATGGGATGTAGCAGGTCGACCCAGCCTCAAATGGGTACCAGGATGGCTGTCCTGGGGAAGTAAAGACGGCCGGCGTAATGCTGACCACATTACCCACCGAGTGCGGATTGGTCTGTAGAAATATGGGACGCTCAGCCCATATACCCGATGCGCCTTAGGCGTAATAAGAGATCTTTACTTTTACTTTACTAATAGCTGTCCCAGAAACTGTTGCCTGTAATTAAATGGGCAGAAATAGTTCTTGTTTGGTTCTAAGAAACCACACATTTGTGCTTCTCTTTACATGATATCCCTTTATTTTCTGGGGTTTACATGCAGCCAGTTGGTTTATTATTTCAAAAGATTCTGATCAGTACAGGTTATGTGTTTT